GGTCTCTTGTGGTTTTTCGTGGAACCAGCTCTTTGTAGGTCGAGCCATGTGGGAACATGCTGCTGGTTTCCTGTTGAATGTCATGCTCCCCTAGGTGTGAATAACAGATCTGTTTGGGAGAGTTTTTCTTCCTAGTTGGGCAGGGGTCTAGTTCAGAGACCTGATGGAAACCTCCACAAACTGTGAGCTAAATAAGCTTTCTTTCCTTAATTTTGAGTGTTAGGTATTTTGCCCTAGCAATGAGAGAAAAGTAACCAAGACCTCTGGTCATAATATATGAGCCTTTAAATGTGTTTAGAAGGCCAGGGATATAGCTCAGCGGCATAAATGCCTACCTGGCAAGTGCAAGGTCCTGAGTTCAATTCTTAGTATCAAAAATTAAATGTGCTAGGGGCTGGGGATTTAGCTCAGCAGCATAAGTGCCTGCCTTGTAAGCAGGCAGTCACAAGTTCAATCCCTGGTACCGATAAAAAGGAAAAAGACAAAAAAAAATTAAATGTGCTTGCAGATTCAATTTACTAGTATTTGCCAAGAATTTTTACATTTATAACATATTTATTTGTAGTTTTCTTTTCTTTGTTGGAACTTGCTTAGTAATGTAGGCTGGACTTGAACTCACGTAGCTTAGGCCAGCTTCAAACTCATGGCAGTCCTACTGCCTCAGCCACCTGAGTGCCAGAGTTACAGAAATGTGCCACTATGTCCAGCTGAATATCCCTTTTCAATTCTTTTAGATATATAAACAAATGGTAGTGTTGCATCATATGATAATAATTACATGTTTAGATTTTTTATGTTTACTTTTAATATGATAAACTACTATGTAGATGAATTTCTTCTAACAGTTTTCTAGTTTGAACACTTATCTTTAGGTCAATAAGCGATTTTGAGTTAACTTTTAATTATGAACAGAGGTGGGCCAAAATTCATGAGTCTGCATATGAGTATTCAGGTATCCCTGTGCCATTAATTGAAAAGACAAGTGTTTCCTCATTTAATGTACTTGGCAGCCCTGACAGAATGAATCATACATAGACACATTGGTTTGTTTCTAAATTTTGCTTTTATTACATTGATCTCAGTGTCTGTCCTTATGCTAATACCACATTGTCCTGATTGCTCTTGCTTCACAATGTATTTTAAAATCAGGAAGTGTGGTGGATTGATAGCTGTTGGTCACCCTGTAATAACAGCTGAATTGAATCAGTGTGGTGTTGAGTGTGGATAGGCCACCAGCGGATCATTGCCAAGATAAAAGGGAGAACTGGAGAGGAAGAGACAGTGTTGTTAGTTGTCTGTGGTGCTGTTGGTTCTCCTGGAGGAGCTTGTTAAGCTTCTTTCCTGATATGAACTCTGCTGTTCTCATTGTTGGAGGAGTTGAGACCTCATTGTTGCTGAGGATGGCTGTGGTACTTTTGCGGGGAACTCTGGTTCTTACTTTGATCATTTCTTCTTGGCTCCAGTGCAGAACCCTCAGCCTACTGGCACAGATCCTTCATCTTGCTGGCACAGACTTTCTAGCTTCCAGTATTGACCTTCGGGCCTTCCCAGCGCAGATCCATGAAACAGACTTGCATGAGTCATTCTCGTGGGCTCTAAGCCTCCAGCTGGACTCATGGGGGACACTGTCATGGGCTCTAGGTCTTCAGCTGGACTTATGCAGGATGTTGACACGGGATCCAGGCCCTCAGATGGATTCTTTTATTTAATTTTTTGAGTGACTATTATAAAATAATTCTGTAAATTTTATGCCCTGTATGTAATTATTTTCCTTGCAATCTCTTGACTACAACAGGAAGTATGAGCCCTTCAAACTTGTTTTTCTTTTACTGGATTATTTTAATGATTATTTTGTCTATTCTGTGTCTGAAAACTATAAAATCAGCTTGTCACTGTACACAAAGAAACCAGCTGCTCAAATCCTTATAAGGATTTCATTGAATCTGTAGCTGAGTCAGGAGAAGACTGCCTTCATAATGATGTTAAGATCCATGAGCACAGGATGTTACTCCATCCACTTAGATCTTCTTTAATTCCTTTTAACAGTATTTTGTAGGTTTGGGTTTTTAAGTTTTGCTATTCTTTTGATATATTTATTTGTAATTATTTTATTATTTATGCTGCTATTATAAATGAAATTTTCTTTCTCTTCCATTTTTCCTTCCTCTCTTCCTTCTTTCTTTCCTCCCTCCCTCCCTTCCTTCTTTCCTTTTTCTTTTTTTAGTACCTGTACTGAGAATTTAACACAGGGCCTTCATCCTGAGCTACAGTCTTCAGCTCTGTTTTATTTTTTATTTTGAGATCGGAACTCACGAAATCATTAAGTTGCACAGATGGGCTCAAATTTTCAGTTCTCTTGCCATAGCTCCCCAGATGAAGAAATATGAACAGCAAATAAATAGGTGAAAAAATGCTCGACATCACTGGTCATTTCAGAGATGCAAATTAAAACAGCACTGAGATTCCCACCTTGATCCCAGAAAGAATGGCTGTCATCAGGAAATTAAGCAATAACAAATTCTGGAGGGGCTGTGGTGAAAAAGGAGCCCTTCTCCACTGTTGGTGGTAATGCAGACTGGTGTGCATCACTGCACTGTGGAAATCAGTGTGGATATTCCTTTAAAAACTAGGACTAGCAGTCCTATTTGATCCAGCTATTCCCCTTCTGGGTATCTTCCCAAAAGAATTAAAAACATCATACCACAGTGATATATGTGAACCCATGTTTATAACAGCACAATTTGTAATAGATCTGGAAAGAACCTAAATGCCCCTCAACTGAGGAATAGATAAAAAGATTTGGTGTTTTTATATAATGGAGTACTACTCAGCTGTAAAGAAGGGTAAATTGGAGACTTTTATAGGTAAATGAATGCAACTTGAGACAAAACAAATGAACAAACAAACAAAAGCAATGGCTGAAGTGTTTGTGTTAGAGAAGAGAAGACTAAGTAATGGAGGGATGGTGGGAGAGAGAGATTTTTTAAAAGACTAAACCTCTTTCTCAGTATCTAAAGAAAAGAGCTAGTGGATGCTTGCTTCCAGATGATAGAACCAAGACAAAAGAGCTGCAGGGAAACAGATTTGGCTCAGAAAAGGAAGCCCTAAGAATACATCTCATCTTTTCAGCATAAAATCCATCGCAGCATACCAACTATCTGACCACAAAGTGCCGTGTGGAAGTGCAGACCTAGCTTCTATCACAGTCATATTTCCCTCCTTGCTTCACTTCCTCCTCCCGGGTCTGTTATTCAGCCTTGCTGTATCAGTTCAAATTTCTCAATTTTGGAGCTTTACTGGGGTTTCCCTGAATTTCTATCCTAACTAATTAGACAAATGGATCTTGCTCATACGCGGCTATGAACTGTCAGAAAAAATATACATCACATGCCTAAAGACATAATTTCTAGTTTCCAAACTTAGTTGGAGAAAATCATTTTGTTGGACAGACACCTGGTTGCTATAGCAAACTACAGTTCTAAATTCCTGGGCTCAATCTCCTCTCCTACCTCATTGGAATTTGAATTTGCATTACCTTAATAATTAGTGATGTTGAGCATATTTTACATATTAATTCCTCATCAGATATACGATTTACAAATATTTTCTCACATTCTTTTTTTTTTTCTGGTACCATGACTGGAACTCAGGACCGCGCGCTTGCCAGCCAAGGCACTGTGCCAGTGAGTTGTATTTTCGGCCCTCTCTCATTCTTTTTACTCTGTTGACAGAGTCTTTTGATACATGAATTTAAATTTTTTTTCATAAAGTGAAGTTAGCCTATTTTTTCTTTTGTTGCCTATACATTTGGTGTCATATCCAAATCTAACATTGTGAAGTTTTTGGTTTTCTTTGTACCAGGTATTGAACTCATGACCTCATGCTTACAAAGCAGATGCTTATGTCACTGAGCTAAATCTCTGGCCCCAACTTGTGAAGTTTTATTCTATATTTTCTTCTAACACTTTATTGTTTTAGATCTAATATTTATTTGATTTTGTCTTTTTGGGACAGTGTATCCCTATGCAGTTCAGGTTGGCTTTGAGCTCACTTTGTAGCCCAGGCTGGTCTCGAGCTTGCAGTGATCCTCTTGCCTCAGCTTCCTGAGTGCTGGGATTACAGGTGTGTGCCACCAGGCCTGGCAGATCTGATATTTATGTTTTTGATTCATTTTAAGTTAGTTTCCCTTTACGGTGTCAGATAAGGATTCATGTCATGCTTTTGGTTAAGGGTATTCTATTTCCCCAGCACCATTTGTTGAAAAAGATCTGTTTTTGCTTTACCAAATAGTCTTAGCACCCTTCTCAAAGATAATTTTACCATATATGCATATATTCCATTGAACTATAGGTATTTGTTTCTGCCAGTATCACACTCTTTTGATTACTGTAGCTTTGTAGCTACATGGTGAAACCCTGTTTAAAAAATTCCAGCCTGAAAGGGTTACCCACACACATATTAACACAACAGATCTCTGGCTCAGTAATAGATTACATCTCATCTGTTTTCTATACACCAATTCCCCATGGCCAGGATGAGAATACAGTGAAATCCACTGTACTTGTAGTGGCAGAGGAATTTTAACTATGGGGGAGGATCCTTTAAATTGTGAAAATGAAATTGTGAAATTCCTCCCCTCGAGGGGGTGGGGAAGAAAGTCAAAGCCCATAAACCAATGGCTCTGAGGCTTATTAACCTTTGTTTCTTGGAAAGTGAGCCAGAGAGGAAACATTCTGTATCCTCCTAGGTATGTTCACCATTCAACACTTTAAGTGCCAGTAACCTGCTCAGGAAGCTGTGAATATGCATTTATTTCTTCCACACAGGATCAAGTAGGGAACATTTCTTTGATCCTTCTGTACCTGAAGTTCTTTTCTTGGGCAGATAGTTTCTAGGGGTTAAGGGTGAAGCAAGTTTAAGTAAGATGGTTTTCTCTATCCAATCCTGAGCCCAGAGCATAGCAGCTACCCAGGAAGGATCTGTTGAGTAAATGACATGACTTGTGGTTTAAAATTTTAATAAAGGTGAGGCAGACAGTTGGTTGATCAAGAAGTGCTGGTTATTGTGATGGTGCTCCCAAATCAGGCCATTCATTTTCCCTTGGGTTAGGCAAAGCTTCGGACCCCTTGGAGCACAGCCAGTGTTCCTGACATCCCCACTGCCAGGTGTGAACGTGCACAGGCTGGGGCCACGTTAGACTCAGAGTTCATAGCGTTCCCTTGGGAGAAGGCGGCATCAGCGAGGAGGAAGGGGTTTCCTTTCAAGGACAGGTTACCCACCGTGGGCAGTTCATCTAGCCGCGGTGCCCGAGTCAGCCTGTTGCAGCTGAGATCCAGCACATTGAGCTTGGCTGGTAGTCCCTGGGGCACCTGCTCCAGCCCAGCAAATGACAGATTGAGGGAGTTTAGCGCGCTGGGCCAGACGCACTTGGGGTCGCCAGCGTTTATGGTAGCGCGCAGCGAGTTGTGGCTGAGGTCCAGGGTGCGGGGCTGCACCCCAGCCGTCGCCAACCTAGCGCACACGCCGCTGGGCGTCTCTATCCCCGCGTTGCGGAGCGCCAGATCCTGGAGGGCCGGGAACTTGTGGGGACAAAGCGCCCCGACCAGTCCGCGTTCACCCAGCCCAGGATTGTCCGACAGGTCTAGGGAGGTAAGGGCTGGGAAACTAAGGACCTGTTCGCAGACAAAGGCCAACGAAGGTGCTTGGGCAATGCTCAGTACCTTCAGCAGGCTCGGCTTGAGCCACTGCTGCAGCTGGGCGAGCCAGGCACCGCCGGCCTCCCAAGACACGTTGCGGAGGCGCAGGGTGGAGATCCCAAGCCCGGAGGCTCCCAGAGGCGGGGGCGGCGGTGCGCCGGTGACTTCTATGTCCTCCAGCGTCAGCTCCTTGAGACGCGAGTACGCCAGTGCCCGCAGCACGCCGAACAGGAGCGGAGCAGGAACCCGCGCGGCTCCCAGCGTGAGCCGCCGCACGCGCAGAGCCCTGATCATGTCCACGTACTGCCGCGGGTCGGCCTCGGGGTCGACGCGCGACAGAAACGGCTCCAGGCTGCGGCCGCCGGCTCGGATCTTCACGTCGACGGCCGCAGTACACTGGAAGGCGCTGGACCAGTCGGGCTGTGGATCCACGAAGTTGCAGGCGCAGTGGATATCCTCCTCGTCCAGCTCGCAGGGCTCGGGCGGTGCGGACTGCGAGGTGCCCGCCGAGATGCGCAGCAGCAGCAGCAGCTGCAGCAGCAGCCTCGGCAACAAGCAGGGAGCGCGCTCCTGCGAGACAGCGGGGGTCAGGGCCGGTCCCAGCCCGCCCCGAGCTTCCTCAGGCCACCCTCGTTCGACCCTGAGAGCTATACTCACCATGATCCGGGAGTTCCGAGAATGGCTCTGGGAAGGACTTTGGCTTCTTTCCCGTCCTGCGGAGCCCTCCCACTTCAGACAGACCAGCTTATCTTTTGGGCAGTCAGTGAGAGTTTATGTAACTTTAGATGTTACCGCTCCCTTCAGTGAACACTGGTCACTTCTCTACTTCTCCTCCTTCCCACCACTCACTTCCTGTCTGTGAAATATTGCAACGAAGGTTGTTTTGGGGAGAGTGACCAAAACAGGAAGGGTTTTTCAGGGCATTTAGGCCACTTGGTGCCCGGCAGGCCAGGCAGAGTTAGGATGACTCAGGCACTCCAGAATGTCTATTGGATACAAGGAAACAAGGATCCCCAGCGCCTTAGGCCGGTACAAGTCCCAGCCCTTGATTTTCCTTAGGTATTTAACTGGATGTTTTGTGGGGGATCTTGTGAATTTCATCTGCTGACTCCAGAGGATAGAATTAGGTTCAAGAGAACGAAGTTGGTGTGAAGAACAGCTCTGCTAACACACACACACACACACACACACACACACACACACACACACACCTTTTTTTTTTTTTTTCTCTCTCTCTTTTGTCTTTTTGAAACAGGGTCTGTCTAGGCAGTTCAGCTTGGCCTTGCAATGATCCTCCTGCTTCCTCCTGCTTTTAGGACAGAGTCTCACTATGTAGTTCAGGCTGGTCTAGAACTCACTATGAAATCTAGGCTGACCTCAAACTCGTGGCAATCGTCCTGCATCAATCTTCCAAGTGCTGGGTTTACAGGTGTGCACTGCCACACCCAGTTCTAGTATCTTTCTTAAAAGTAGGTGTTCCGTGAGCCAGAAGAGGCCATGAAGGACCAGGAAGAGAAACAAGAAGCCAGTTCATCCTTCCTGTGAGCCAGCCAGAACATAGACTAGGAGACAAGAAGAGCCCCTTGAAAAGCAACTGACTGATTTGAAGGACCACAGGCAGAGCCGATAGCAACTGAGATTCAAAAACAACTTAATTTCTGTATTGTTTGATTGACTTTGCAGGTCTACAGCCGATAGTATAAGCATCTATTTAGAGGATAACAATATGCAATATAGCAACTATAGAGGATTTTCTTCTGTCTTGTTTTTGAAATCCAAATTGTTCTCACTGCTTTGTTACATTTTATTGTTTTATTTTCTTCAATATTCTGTTTTGATTGATTTTATGTTTGATGGTATGCACAGCAATTTTGAAAATAACAGTAGGCCTTATGGAAACCCTTATTGATTGCTTATTATCCCGTTTTGAAGTCCTGTATCACTGTCACTGTTTTGTTTTGATTGGCTTTATTGTGTTTGATTTTATTCTCTTTAAAATAAAGTTTTACAAAAAGTAGAAGTGCTTAATGGCTAAGTCATTCTATCACTAACAGTATCTATTTTCTGACCTAAAACTAGGAAACATAATGTTTCTAATACAGTTTTCTTGTAGGATCCCCCAAGGTGCCCTTAGGACTTTTTCTTTTGTCCTAAGAAATACAGAATGCTCTGTGATCTGGCCAGCTGTTTTTCCTTTCAGTCTTTTTTTATTTTTTTAGTTTTTGTCTTTTTGCTTTTTATCGGTACTGGGGATCGAACTCACGACTGCCTGCTTGCAAGGCAGGCACTTATACCGCTGAGCTAAATCCCCAGCCCCTCCTTTCAGTCTTTTTGATTTTTTTAAAGAGAGATACATAAGCTTATTAGCTAGAATTAAAGAAGTACACCCTTAAAGAAAATGGAATGGGGGCTGGGGATATAGCTCAGCAGCACAGTGCTTGCCTGGCAAGTGCAAGATCCTGAGTTCGGTTTCCAGTACCAAGAAAAAAAAAGAAAAGAAAAGAAAAAGAAAATGGAGTGTGGACTTCAAGAGATACATTATGATATGTGACTAGTCATAGTTATATAATTTGGAGGTGAAAATATGTGGAATCTGTGAATATTTGAAAATAATGTTTGATTTACAGGTGAAGGCCAATGGCCCATTCACATGTGAAAGGCTAATTTTATAGGAGAAAGCAAGGGCTCAGTCCACTCTTCTATTTATTTATGTTCTTGATATATAATGAATATGTTCATTGTGTGAGTCTTGGTCTTTTTTGCTTCTCTTTGCATTCCTCTCCTTTACCTCCCTCCATTCCCAAATCCCTTTCCCATCTACAAAAGGACTACCTCCCTTTTTCTATCATCTATCTTTTGTTTTGCTCTCTCTCTCTCTCTTTCTTTTTTTTTTTTTTTTGGTACTGGGGATCGAACTTAACAATCGAGTACTTGCTGAGCTAAATCCCCAGGCCTTGCTCTTTATTTATACTTTGATTTTCTCATGTAAGAAAAACCATATAATATTTAGCCTGTGTCTGATTTATTTTGCTTAGCACCATGGTCTTATGGTGCATTCATTTTTCTACAAATGACTCGAGCTTATTCTTCTTTAAGGGTGATTAGTACTCTGCACTGTGTATAAATACATTTTATTTATTCATTCATTTGTTGATAGACATACAGGCTGTTTCCAATGTTCAGCTATTGTGAGTTGTGTTGCCACAAACATGGATATGCTTGTATCACTATAATATGATGTCTTTAACTTTTGAGAAGATAGCTACAAGAGGTATAATATAGCTGAGTTGAATGGAATTTAATGTTTTTAGGGTTTTTTTTTTTTGAGAAATCTCCATACTGATTGTACTAGTTTACTTTCCTACCAATAATATAGAAGGGTTTCTTTTATCCCACAACCTTGCCAGGATCTGTTGTTTTTTGAGTTTATGATGACAGTCATTATTCTTGTAGTAAGATGAAATCTCAGTGTTGTTTTGATTTATATTTCTTTAATGGGCAAAGATGATGAGAATTTTTTCATATACAGTACTTATTGGTCATTCATTCTTTAAGAAGTATATTTATTTACATATTTATTTTAGATTATTGAGACAGTGTCTCACTATGTAGTTCAAGTTGGTCATGAACCTATTAAGTGGTTCAGGCTAGCTCAAACGCTTAGCAGCCCTCCTGCCTCAGGCTTTTGAGTGCTGGAATTACAGGTGTGCAACACCAGTTCTGGCACTACTCATTGCAATTGCCTTTTTTTTTTTTTTTGAGACAAAGTCTCACTATGTAGGTTGGCTTTGAACTCACTATGTAGCTCAGGCTGGCCTTGAACTCACAGTAATCCTCCTGACTCAGCCTCCTGAGGGCTGGAATTACAAGAATGTGTCACAATGCCTGATTTCTCAATAGCCTACCTTTTAATTGTGTCTTTTATTCTGGTAGAGTCTAACTTTTTTAGATCTTTTATACATTTTATACATTCTATGTGGTGGTCCGCTTCCCGAGGTATGAAGGAGCCAGAGAAAGTAATTTGGACAGAAAAAAATTATTTATTAAAGCACAGACCTGGCGACACAGCCTCCAATAGCCAATATGGAAGACTGCGTGCCTAACAGCTAAAGGGCAGGGTTTTTATCCTGTAAAACTACAAACAGCTCCTGGTCTTACAATGCAGGCGAGTGGGGTTTGCAGCGCACTACAGAACAGGAACACGGTGGGTACATTTCTTGGAAAGAACAAAGTTCAGGTGGGCTAGGCAAACATCCTGTTCTGCTCTTAGAGTTACCTTTGATCTTTCTCTTGCCTCTAGGGAGACTTATGAGGGTTTTTTTTTTTAATAGGTTACAACATTCTACACACTAGAATTCTGTACAAAGATGCTAAAAAATTTTTTTCCCATTCTTTAGATTGTCTCTTCACTTGTACAGAAGTTTAAAATTTGATATAATTCCATGTGTTGATTCTTGGTGTCATTTCCTGCGAAAATGAGGTTCTGTTTGTAAAGTCCTTCCCTGTGTCTTCATGAGTTTTAACTATTTTGTATCAGATTCAGTGTTTCTGTTTCAGTATGTAGGTCTCTGGTCTATTTTTTATTTTAGTTTAGTACATGGTGAAAGTTATGGGTATAGCTTCAACCTTCTGCCTGTGAGTAGTCAGTTTTCCCAGCACTGTTTAAGAGGCTATCTTTCTTCCAGCATTGTTTTTGACCTCTTTGTCAGATATCAGATAGATGAATGTATTGGGTTATTTCACTGATCCACATATCTGGTTTTGTGCAGTATTTGTTATTTTTATCACTGTAGATTTTTATTATAACTTTACCTTAAATCTAGGATTATGATGCCACTTGCTTTGCTCTTGTTGCCCAAGATTGCTTTTGTTCTTCTGGGTATCTTTTTGGTTTCATATGACTTTTAGGATTATGCCCTCTAGTGTGGAATGTTTCTGGTATGTTGATTGAGACTGCATTAAACCTATATATTAGTTTTGATAATGTGATCATTTTGACAATATTGGTTCTACTTTTCCAGAAACAGGAGGTATTTTTTTCATTTTCTGATGTCCTCCTTAATCTCTTTTTTGAGGATATGACAGTTTTCACGATAAAGGTCTTTCACCTTCTTGGTTAGGTTAATTCCTAAGTATTTGTTTGCTTTTGAAGCTACTGTGAATAGAATTGTTTTCCTAACTTGCTTCTTGGTGGGTTCATTGTGTTGTACTGTAGTGCTATTTATTTTTGTATTCTGCTTCCCCTGCAGTTCTGAACTCAATCCAGGGCCTTGAAAATTTCCAGGCACTGATAAAGGTGTTTAGATAGTTTCCCAAAGCACTAAAAGAGGCCTGGGGATTTAGCTAAGCAGGCATAAGAGCTTGCCTGGCAAGCACGAGGTCATGAGTTTGAGCCCCAGTACCACAAAAAAAAAAAAAAAAAAATCTGTCCAAAACACTAAAAGAAACTAGCTCTGTCCTAATCCAAATTCCTTAACCTCATATAAACTCTATCCCGACTTCCTTGTTATGATATACCTAAGTAGACTATCTTTTCCTAGGGTGGTGTCAGCAGAGGGAGACTCAGGCAGAGGAGAGTCACTAGGACAGGGACAAGTGTACATTTGGAGGGAAGCTCTGGATGCAGTCCTGACCAAGACATAGTCCTTCAAGTGCTCCAGTGGGTGGGGAAACAAATATGAAGAAAGAAAACCGGTCCATAATGAAGAAGATTCTTACAGAGGTGGCTCTATAAGAGTTCTGGAGAAAGGAACAGCCAGCCCTGGAGAAGACAAAACATGGGGTAAGTTCTTACAGGGAAAACAGTGTTGCAAATAGGTGAAGAAAGGCAATTTGGACAGCTGTGACTGACTGAGGCATAGG